CGATCCAATAAACAACGCAGAGCACTACTGTATATCCGACAGAGGAACTTGCCATTGATTCACTGCCTTAAAGCCAGCAGAACATACACGGTGACACACCTACGGGATTCAGTCAGCCAACAGGATGCCCATCACTCAAAGTCACAAGAGAGCCAAAAGGTAGTGTGTGGACACTGCAAGAAATTACTTTCTTCTTTATTTGTTTCTAATTTAATTATTTTCTATTTAATTATCTAGTTAATGTGCAGAGGGCTGCTCCCGCACCTCATCTCTTTGCTTTCACACCAAGCATGGTCTTGGGTTAAACGTGCCTCCTACAACTGACAGTTTTTGGCAGCAGCAAAGCACAAAATCTTATTGGGCTGCAAAATCTTATTGGGCTGCCTGTGGCACCTGCCAGTGATGGTTAGCAGTCTTCTGACATGCACTGCTTGCCTGCAGACAGCCTTTGTGTATCTCCCCTGCCTTGTGACCTGCAGCCAGCCTTCCCTCTGCCCCGAGGTGGGTAGGAGTGTGCTACTGAGACAGACATGATGCTGACCAGCAATAATACCATGAATATTGCTAAGCCCTCTTAACGTTGATTATTAGCAACGGGATGCTAATAATCCTGGACTATCAGATTTTTTGTATGATTAGATCATCCTATTCCAGGAGGTGGGAAAAGCCAGGATGGAAGCAAATCAGGGAAAACAGATAAGGATACTGCCATGCGTTCTTCAAAAGCAGCAGACCAAAGCCTCAGCTTTTCTACTCCTGTATCTAACTGCTAATGAGCACCTTCACTAGGGTTGGGGGGTTAAGAGACTCCAAGAAGACCTGAGTGCTTCAGAAAGCCTCTCTCATAGCATGAGTGGCAGATCAGCCATAGTCTAAAGACACACGTTGTCTCAAGGTATGGGAGAGACTTTATGAAAGACATGCAAAGAATGCAAAGAAACCAGTCTTCCCAGTTCAAAGGAGTGCAAAGTCCTCAGCAAAGTCTGGTGTAGCGTACAGCTATACAGAACTATATAGATACATTTCCTCTAAAGGGCCTTTGTGCTTACTAAATAATATATTGATTGAGGAAGCCTGCGTTGTCTCTTACAAGCACCATTATGATTCCCTGGTGAAACATTAGTGCAAGGACTGGAACTGAAGCACCTGTCTCTGTACCAGTGGATGATCCCACAGCGTCTGCGAGACATGCAGCTCTGCTGTGCGTCACCCACCAGTGTCAGCCCTCCTCCTTGCCAGGAGCTCCTGACAGGCCATGCCTTTATCATTGCCCCTGGGATAACCTCCAAGCTCAGATCCAGAGCCTGTCTGAGTCCTCGCTTCACAGTCATAGCCCAGATATGCCCCACTCCTCTCACCTTCTGATAGCCACTGAAAGCTAAATCCAGGTCCTCCTGCCTCCTGCTCTAACCTGAATAACTAGGGAACCCAGTGCTTCCCAGCAGGTCCGACACAGCCTGAGAGACAGGCAGAAGTCTATCTTTTCCCTCTGCCTGTTGACAGCCCTGTTTTTCATCATATTTTCCCTTTTCTATCTTACAGACACTTACACACACTTCTTGAGCAGCTGTGAAGCTGTGCAGGCACCAGAGGGATAAAATGGAGAAGTCTGGGAGAAGTTGAGCCGTCAGGAAAAATGAAAACCATACCCATTTAAAGATTTACTTAGCGCAGAAGGTCTGCATTTTAGAGCAGAAACTAATGGAGCTTTTTAGCAACCAAGAACATGGCCTTCAGCATGCATTTCCTATCCCCAAGTCACATGTGGTTATGAGCTGAAGTTCTGCGTACTATTTCACTATTTTTGCACCTTGCTTCATAGTAGGTATCACATTTTGGAGTAGTCCACTCCAGTTTGGTTATAGGAAGAGGTCGTCTAAATAGTTACCGTAATTGCTGTGTAAAGACCACCCAGAAACAGCCTACTGGCCTCTTCATGCGACTGGAATTCACGTGATGTGGGCCCTCCTGCCTTTGCTACGATATATTTTGCCATCTTGGGCAAAAAGCTCAATTTTTGCTTGGATCTACATGTGCTGAGTCTTGATACAGGATACATACTAGTGAAGCACTACACTCATGTGAAGTGTTTCTGTGACAGGAACAAAGATGTTAACTTGTCTCCTGGCTGAGCCAGGTGTGTAGTGGGCCAGATCCTGCTGTAAGATACACTCTCTGCAGCTTTACCTGTACAACTGGTGTGGTGTAAGTCAAGGCACTATTCTCCCAGCATGGGAAACAGGTGACATGGTGAAGTCTGCTCTGGAGTCTCTCTGCCGGTTGGCGAACACGATAATAAAGTCATAACAATTTTCTGGGACTATTTGAGGTTCAGAGGTTCCAAGCTACATTTCAATAGGATAGGAACAAACAGCTCTGAGCCAAATTGATTTCTCCTGCAACTCTAATAAGGCTGGAGGAACTACACCTGGGATGATTTTGGTCCCACACAATATGTCAATGGTCAATCTCTCATTATGCCTGGCTACAAGTGTCTTTAAAAACGACGTTCTCTTTACAGCAGTAAATTCTGATCTGCCAAATGTGCCAGCCAATGAGCTCTTCCCAGCTAAATACTGTGAGGATTATGCATAAATACTGAACTAGCCTAATCTACCTCTTGGTGAAAATTAATTGATCTATTACAGGCAACAATAACTATTTGCTGAAGTTTTTATTCCGCATTTTTTACTTCTGTTAAGTAGTATACGCGATTTCATTGGTTGGCTATTTTAAACCATAGGGGATCATTGGCAGAACAGAACAAATCCCTCTGAAATCCAAAATTGCCAGCTGCAATTATAGTCTGCATCTAGCATTTTCTCTAAGGACTATAAATGCTTCACTACTTTAATTTTACTTGGCATTTGCATCACTGTGTGGCAATTACTGAGCAATGGCAAAGGACAGACTCAGTAACGAAGTCTGGACAGTAAAGAAATACTGAATACTGAGAATATTGAAATATTCTCTCTATTTCAATCTAATATTCATCAGTCTGTGTACCTGGACACACCACATTTAGATACAAAGCACTGGTAAGACAGGTACCCTCCTTTTTGCTGCTGAAATGTCCGTGGCTTTTTGCATATTAGAGATGAGGAAAGTTGTTTTCTCCTCGTAGTTCTTGATTGTTTTTAACTATTCAAAAGGACGAGATACTAAGTTGTAAATACTAGTAATTCAAAGATCAAACTGGCAACTATATTACTCCAGATAAGGCTTGTGAAATTCTACCAATTTCAGTGATGTTATGCTGATATAAAACAGGAATTAAACAGCAGTGGCTAAGCTATTTTTTTGCGCTCGTCGTATACACAGTTTTAATTATTTGAACTCTTTGTGATTGCCCCTAAGTCCTAGCTATATGAGAAGACAAAATCAAGCATTATACCCCGGACTGAATAAACAGAGATGCAACTGGGGAAACAAACAATGACGCTGCGAGAATATGGGGCTTACACAGGAAGGGTTCTGGGCATTTACCAAAATTTGCGTCCCTTGTTAAAAACTGATATGCTGAAGAAACATTCTTTAAAGGGGAAAGGAAGGTTTTGGAGAGCTGAGATATCAAGTATTTATAATAAAAATCACCCCAGGCACAGTGAGCTGTGCAGAGGCAATGTTTGCAAATGACACTATTTACCTTCATCAGGCAGAGCTGTAAAATTTCTGAAACCTAAGTAATTTAGGGAAATAGGCAAACCATGAAAATGCTGTTCAATGTCATTGCAAGGTCAAGTACTGCACAGTAAGATATGCTAAGATACAAAAATTTCAACTCTTCACATGCTTCAAGAGAGTTCAAAATTAATCATTTAAGCACTGGGACCTTGCTATCATGTTCTGCTCTTTGGGACCTTGAGCTCCCTGTGCAGCTACAGTCTAATAAGGTATTAGGCTAAGCAAAGACTGGACTGAAAAATCACAGTACCCAGCAACAGTGCAGTGCCATCTTGCATACTTGGGGCATTACTGCTGAGGCCCTTCAACGAGAAGACTGAAGAACTAGACAGGTCTTGGAGTAGGCTAAGCATGATCGAGCACAAAGATTTTCAAAGACAGACTAGAAAGATGTGGTTAGTTTATCCCAAAGAGGTGATAAATGAGGCCATGAAAAATAAATTAGATAAAATGCTGAAAGAGCTGCTACTCTTCCTCTTCCCTCAACATGGTAGTGGTGTTCCCCCCTTATCCTCCCCACCAAGAAAAAAGAAAACCAAAGAAAGACCACAAGAAAATTCCTAACAACTGGCTGGTCTTCTTGTGGTTCTCTCAGTCACACTGGATGGCGACTAACAGGATTCACTGTGTCTGCATACCACCAAGTTGATAATGTAACAGTATTAAATTGATTACAGAAATCATGGCTGGAGCACAGGAGGTTCTTAGACACTTCTACCTGACCTCAGTTTACTAATCCTTGACACAAATTTTCCACATTTAATGGCCACCTCTCTATACCCCATGTGATACAGAAAACCAGAACAACTGATGAGTAGCACTGTTACGAAGAAGAAAGAGTCTAGACGGAGTAAATCTGTCCAGCCTGATCCAAGAAAAGCAGGTACTGAAGGACAGGAGTGTTTCGGATCTGGAAAAGACTCAGCTACTCACAGGATATGCAGTCAGAAGAGAATGTTATACCTCTGCTCTTTGGCCAAACTAACAGCCTATCAAACGGCACCTGCAGCTATATTCCAACATGTTATCAAAGCTGAACTTTTCCCAATGGTGCACTGAAAACAACCAAATCCACATAGTTCATGCTGATACTTGACACAACCAAAGATCCCATAGGATATATCAGGAAAATGAAAAGAGGTGTTGTATAGGAAGTTATATTGGAGCAGAAATAATGTCTAGAGTCTTTTTTTCCCCCCATGGCTTTTCCTCTTGAACATTGTGAATAGATCTCAAATGTTTACAGACTAAGGATAAAAACTGCATCCCACCACATATTACCAAAAGCAAGAGTTAGAAAAATGTTTGTCTCCTACCTTGTTAGCTTTGTCCCAATCTGCTGCCTAAGTTCCAGCCTCTCTTCATCAGTCTGCATGGGGAGGATATTCTTTTCCTCCAGCTCTCGCTTTGAAGGCCTGTTGCTTAGTTTGATTGCTAAAGAGTCCTTCCTGCAGACTTTCCTTGCCAGAGAACCTGTGGGAGAGAGGAGAGGCTCTGCCAAAGGAGGTGTCATCATTTCAGTACAGCATGCAGCAGGCAAAGAAGTTCTAGCCAAGGGAGGATGCTGGGCTCTCATTTACACTGGTACGGACTGTGGGAAAAGGGGCGTCAATTAACTTCACATGCTCAATTAACCTTAATTCATATCACAATATGGAAAAGCTGAATTTGGCAGGTATACAGGAAAAAAAAATTAAAATATTGCTCCATAAAAGGGAGTGGGGAAGAAGGGGTTGTTTCAGTATTGCTAGTAGAATCTGTAGCTTTCTCTAGCACAGTGTTTCTGAACCACGTAACGGAATGAATAATTCACCCTCAGAATCTGGGCAGGCAGCAGAGCTACAGCGCGCGGAAACAGAGAGGTATCTCTCCCTCTTGCAATGTCATATCAAGACGTTCAAGCTAGCACCAGAAGGAATCAAAAGTACATCAGAAGCAGCACGGATCTCTATGTACATTAATTGACACTGCTTCTCAGGCAGCAACAGTGGCAAAGACACTGTGAAAACCAGTGGCCTTTCACAGCTCCAGCTTGCTGTCTTAGGCTTGCACTCAAAGCACGTTGAGCAAGGAAGACAGACACATGCAGACAGAGAGACACAACCCTCTGAGAGGTTTGGGGCTTTGGCAGGAGACTGCGAGATAGTGCAGTTCTGCTCTGTTTCTTAGTTTAAGAGTAAAGACTGCTTAATTTCACTTGCGGGGTGAGGGAGGATTCCGAGGAGATGAAATACGCCTGTTTTAGAAACTTCTTTGTGTGTGTTTTAAAAAGGGCGTTGTTTGTTTGTACTGCTGCCAGTTTTCCAAAGAAAAGAAATCCAAGGGCCTGAAATCTCAGCTCAACCTGCAGGATGACAAGCAGTTGTCATACACAAAGTATGGTATCTTGTCTTCATGGCAGAGTCCTGTGATGCCACACCAAGGCAGGAGATGAGTTTCTCGGACAGCTCGGGAAGGGGTCACAGGTCCCTCTCCAGACTGTAATTGCAATATGGCTATCAATTAAACTCTTCTTATCGGAGCCCAACTCTCTGATCATGACCCCCAATCGTAAGTGCAGACTTAACGATTCTGACATAATTTAATACTTACTACATATAAAAGCTCTGATTCTCTCTCAGTGGCACTTATTTCATCCTCCTGAAGTAACCCTGTTGACGTGATCTTGACATAAGCCAAAGACAGGGCTTCTCTACACCACAGATACTTGGGAAAGCGAATCCAAAAGTCAATTTGGAAGTGAACTAATACATGCCAAAACCAGTCATTTGAATTCTGTCTTATTGCTACCCAGACAGGGACTGATAGAGATTAGGGAAAACACTATGAATTCATAGTACTTGTTATTTTGGATTAATTTATCCATGTAGTCAAGCCCTGAAAGATGCAAAAGCCATGGTCAAGAAAGAAAATTCACGGGCCTTGTGTTTCCCTTGCCTACTGAGATTTCAGAGGAAAAATTAAATAAATGAGAAGGAAAAAAAGGAATTAGTCTTACTTGTAAATAATGAGTTATCCTCATCTTCATCTTCCTCTTCCTCCTCTTCCTGTCTTGTGTAGAGGCAGGAAGAATCTTCATAGTCGGTTTCATGAGGCACATTTTCTTTATTGTCATCGCATTCGATCACAACAGTTGGCACTTGTCTCATGTCTGGAAGGCCCCCAGGTCCTGTTTTTGTAACACTGTCACCTGTGTGTAAACCAGAGCTGTTGGGAAAGAAAAACAAATAAACTAAAGGAAACAGCTCATTGGAAGACTGAGTTGCTTCTCTCACTATATTTAGGAAAGTAGAGGTCTTTCATGCCTCTTTGAGAAGAAACTAGGACAGAAAGATCTTCATGACCAGCAAGGCATCTAATGAGTTTAAACTGAGTATACATGAGATTTAAGGTACAATACTTGTTAGGGAAAAGTAGGACAGCGTGCAGGCAGAAATACTGGCATCCAGGACTGAGAATAAAAGATCTTCAGCACATACAGTCTCAAGGCTTAGTGGGAATTGCACCAGCTACTCAGAGTGATAAGCATGTTGTCAGCCTGGTGTCTGTGTCACCACTCCGCTGCATGCAGGAGAAAATGCCTCACCTGAATGCAAAAGGTGGAGTAAGAGAGTGGGAAGGAGGAAAGGTATAGCTTGTAGAAAGGCAGAGGGAAACGATGACTTGCACTCCTTGTGCAAGATGTTGATTGACTTGAGGGGAAGGATGGGCATGACTGTCTGAAGAGGAGGGGACCGAGCGTGTGAAATTGGGCTTGGAGAAAAGAGATTTTGGGAGCTGGTGAGAATAACAAGGGAGGGAGCTAAAGCCTGGGAGGTTTCTTTGCTAATGGCACAGTTACGTGTTGTGGGGGCAGCAGTGATGATACATCTGTTCTCCTGTCCCAGCTGCTCACTCCAGCCAGGTGCTGGACATCAAGCTGAACTGCAGCTAACATCATATTTCTTTTGCCACATAAAGTGTGATTGATCATCTCCTGCAACTTACTAAGTTCAGACCTCTCATCAGTACTGCTACCATCTAACTGTTTATGTGTTGATTTCAAAGCTCTTTACCAAGGAACGTATCAATCATAGAATCATAGAATCATTTGGGTTGGAAAAGACCTTTAAGATCATCAAGCCCAACTATTAACCTAACACTGCCAAGTCCACCACTAAACCATGTCCCTGAGCAACATGTGTACACGTCTTTTAAATATCTCTAGGGATGGTGACTCAACCACTTCCCTGGGCAGCCTTTTCTCTGAAGAAATTTTTCCTAATATGCAATACAAGTAGGGAAGCAGGAACATGAGGAGGTGAAGATCAAAGTCAAACAGAAGGTGAAAGGAAAAGTCAGGAACAGAACCAAATTTCTCAACCCATTTTTATCTAATAGCTCATGTTGCTTTTCCAATACGAAATGAGAATGAGAGACTGGGAGGCAAAAATGATGGTTGCCCAGGTTTATTTTTGAGTCAGCAGCAACTGTTTTCTCTCTCAAGTCCCAGCAGAGGCAACAGTTCTATAAAAGGTGGGAACGTTTTCCTGTTGGACTCCCTCTCTATGTCAAACTCCCATTTTACTTTCCACAAGAACATAGGTGTGAAACTCGACGTGCTGGCCAAGCTGCACTTGAGGCACCCAAATTTGGGTCAGACCTTACTGAGTGCTGAGTAGCCTCAAGTCCCTTGAATATTGTAGCCTGTTCAGAACACCGGAGGCATTCCACGTCTTGAAAAAATGTGTTCTTCTCTTTAAATGATTTTCTATTGAGTCAACTTGAAACATTTCTCTTTCTTCTAGGAAATCATTCTGTTAATTGCAACATTTACTGTTGCAGACTGACCAACAGTGAGATGTGTGATAGCTTTACTGGATGCCTTGACGAGAGGCACTCCACTTCCTTAGTGACAGTCTCTGTTTTGTACCACAAAGTATGAAAGATTCGTGAAGAACTGGCTTGTGAATTTTTGTATTAGACTTCAATATTGGAGTTTGACCCCCCTAATTTTTTTTAATCCTGGAAGTAGTTTTAGAATTCATCAGCTGAATTCTCCTAACAACACACAAATGCACTACAGTCTTTAAAAATTATCAACAAACTTTTAATGTATTGATACGTTTTAATAATTTTAACTTCATTAACTTCATTTTTAAAATCTGTTTTCTCTGTAACCTCTTTTTTGTGCAACTCTCTTTAAGAGGAAAGGTAGGAAATCAAAAACACTAGAATTAAATTTCCAAGAGAAACTAAAACGCTGTGAAATTCTGTTAACATTGCTAAAAAAAACGTCCAGTGATGAACACAACCACTGGATCATTCAGTTCATTTTAAAACAATACATACACAGGGAGTAAGGACCAGTTGACTAAGTCCCTTCTGGAAGTACAAATGAAAGGAACAAAAAGCAGTTCAGCATCCAGGACCCGTTGGTGCTTCCCTGTTCTGTGAAGGGTGTAGGTAGGTTACAGATGCATCCTTATGGGTGTGCCCATAAGGTAGCAGATATCAAAGTGGTTCACCAATTTAGGTTACCAAGCAGATACCGGATGGCAACAAGACTTACGAATTACCACGCTAGATCTTTATTTGAACCAGCAATCTAGAAATTGGCGGCTTCTCATCTCATTCTAATTTTTCTGAATCATCCACTTTCTTGATAATACTACTTTCTATTTTAAGCCCCTCATTTTTCCTGGTGTTTTGTGTTCTTGATTAAAATCAGCTTCTTCCACAGCATTTTGACTATGTCAGCTGTCTAAGCAAAGCACTTGTGAAATACATGCAGTATTGCAGTATACTTAAGAAAGACGAATCAAGGTCACTGGGTATTTCCATTGTGTATAAACTCCTCTGGGTCATTAGCAAAACCCCCACATGATCAGGCGGTCTACACCACAAAATTTTTTAGCATTATTTACCAAAAAGAACACTATTGTTTCAAACAGTACATTTAAAATCAGCTTCCTGTTTGGCAACAAAATTAGAGAACAAAGCTACAGCTAAGCAAGTACTTGTTTTAAGAAGATAAATGTATCTTAACATGTAGATTTGAATAAAATTCATAGCCGACTAGTACAAACACTTGCAATTACTGTTGCATCATCTTTACGTGATCAAACAGCCAAAAAGTGGCACCGTTATAGCTTACAATGTTTTTAGTGAGAAAATATTTTAATGAAACATCAGAATTTAAGCATATGAGTCACTCATGGTACAGACAAAATTGAAAAAGAAAAAAGTGAAATCCCTCCTGTAAAATCTAGTGGGAAAAAAAACGCATGCTTCTCATCTGTCATCTCAGGCTCTTTGATTTTGGAATAAAGAGTTACATTTTTACCAGCGTGTTTTCAGACCCACAGTACACTCTTCTGTACTTACCAGTTAAAACAAAAATCTGAAAAAACTTCAAACCATTGTATATACATTTCTACCACACAGGCATACGCGTGAGACAGAAAGAGAAGGCAGAGCTATAAATATTAAGTGTTTCTATCCTCAGGCAATGCTAAGGTTTAGACAAAAAGCAATTCTCACTCAAGTTTTAATGGAAGATAAATGTTTTCTGACTCAAATACATTTTATAAGATTTACAAGACATTGGCAGGAACGTCTAATGCATTTCATTTCATAAATCTACAGTCTAAGGCTGAACTGGGTGTCCCAGAGGAACTGGTCTTACACACTGTCTTTTTGGACACAGCGATTTTTCCCTGCTCTGCCACAGATGCAATTCTTGCTCAGGGTGAGATATTGCCACTTCACAGCTCTTTAGTACACACGCTGAACAAACTGAGACCTTGATTCAGTTGTGGGTCTACAAGAGCCCACAGAGTAATTGAAATTAATCGTCGTCTTTCCAGACAGACCAACAACTATATGGGCAAGGCTATTTCGGATCAAGAGGCTGCCTCTCTGAGTCAAAATTAAAGATACATTCCAGTGGCACAAACGGGTTTCTAAAACTTTCTTTGCTGCTGTTTGTGGCACATGGCTTTTTGGGCAAGGTCCTTCCTCTCAAATTCAGTCAGGAGGATGAAACCTTGTGGATTTTGGTGGTAGGGTTGTCAGATTTTCACCAACTCTTAACATGCATTCTGAAACGGTAAAAAATGAGGCCAGAATCTAGAGTTTTACTTATGCTTGACACATATCCTTTGAGCTGCAGGGGAAAGGCGTTTGCAGTAGGGCACAAAGTAGCAACAGAGGTTGCAGAAAAAAGGTTGTGTGGAAATTACACTCTTCTCTGTTTCGACTTAATCTATCACAAAGCTGTAATTTATCAGGGAAAATAAAGGCAAACTGGCAGCACAAATGATACGTCCTAAGAGTCACACTATGACAAGGGACAGATTGCCCTTCCGAGAATAGGTCATGAATAGATGTTACGAGTGCCAGAAAATGTTTGCACTCAAAAGCGCTAAGTGTGCAAATGAACTTAATGTTTTATAATGTCTGTAATAAAGCCGAATTAAAAAATCCAGGAATTAACTGTCATTTTACGTCGTAAGAACAACTGGGAGTTGAATAGCTATTACATGCTTTTAATGCACCTGAAGACATTAAATTATTAATATGCACTAGATCTAGGTGAGGCAGTAACATGCAACCACTCCTGCAGAGGGGAAAACAGAGGTAGAGAAGCTCAGTAGCTTTCTCAAGGTCAAACACAGCAAAATAACTTCTGGCTTCCAGGCCGGTACAGAGGGACAGCTCGTTTTTCTTTGGCAAGCTTCTGCCTCATTGGGAAAGCACTGATTTCAAGTATCAGTCCTCAGATGTTGTTAGACTATCTGAATTTCAGAGACCTCATCTGCAAAAGCGAAAAATCTGGATTGCTAGAGGAAGGGGATGTTTTAGTCTCTTGTTCTTTGTCCCTGTCCACACTCACAGTCCTGGAGGAGAGAAGAGTTGTGAAGTCTAAGAAAAGTTTACTGGACAAAATGTGGAATTGATATGAACTCGTTATGGATTCAGTGCATATCAACGGAGTTTATCAGACTTGAAGAGCTTCCACTGCACCAGGACCAAAGAAACTAGATGCAGGGAAGAAAAATAAAAATCCTGAAGGAAAAAAAAGAAAAAACTTAGAGCAGAAATTGATCTGCACTTGTCTACATGATCCTCCCTTATTAAAAACAAAACACTATTCTAAATAATCCCCCAAATTACCAGACTTGGCAGCATTATTATCACTGCAGCATCATAGCAACTATTCTATAAAGTTGGAGGATTCTTTCGCAGCAAAAACTGAGACTAGCAAAAATAAATCCTGCCAATGAACTTTAGCATTCCCCAGAAGGTGCCTCAGAGACTTGTCAGGCTCTCATCTCCTCAAGATTACTGACCCAACGGCAGTGACCCGGTACATCCTTACCTTGCAAGGAACAGTAAAGCTCAGGATGTCACTGCATATCCTACACACACAACAGATGTGACACAAGACCAAATTTTAAACAGAGGAAAGCAGATCTAGGATCTTTGCAGTTTTAACAGGCCCTTAAGCCTTCTGGGCTGAAGTGTCCAATGACAAATATTGTGGTATGATTTCTGTTGGGTTTAATCCAGATTTTACACAATTAAGGGAAAAGAACTAGGCCAAAAATACTAGAAAACAGGGGCATTTGGTGCAAATAATCATCTCCCAAGTTATATACATATGTTTTAAAAACCTGCGCAGATCTTCAAGAAAAGTTAGCAGATTTACTAAGATCACAACGTTGCTTGAAAAAGCAATTTAAGAATTTTAAGAGCAAGTGTCAGCTCCACAGACCTGTAAACACTTTGAAATATTTTTACCTCTAAATAGCATGAAAATAACAATCGCTGTTGCAGAGGAAAAAGTCATCACCTATTTTCTCTCTTGTGAATGCAAACATTATTGATTTGTTTTGACAAGGAGAATAACTGAAGTACTCAATACTTAATTTCATGACTGAAATAATAATGCAAGAGAGCTAAGAAATATCAACCATCTGCAATATCATGAACTAGGATTCATTTTCATTTTAAATGTGAAATACCAGTGCCACAGCCTTTTCTTGTTTTCTTCTGCAAAGCGAGGCAATTGCTTCATATTGGGAAATGAATCCTTGCTTATTCAGCTTTTAACAAGCGGCAGAGCTTCAGCTTCAAATTAACAGTTAAACCCAAACAGCATCACCTTCTTTAAATCAGTTAAATGTATTTGTAGACACAGACATGATGGATGCCTACAAATTGGAGCATTCATTGCTGTGAGGCAACAGATGCCACAATGAAGTCATACTCTGAGAGATGTCACTGTTTTTCCCCAGCAGAGAATTCCTCCATGCTGCAGAAACATCAGTCCCTGACGTAACCACAGAGGTCTCGCCATCCTGGGACTAAAACAAGCTGGCAGTGTGGGACAACCTCTGGACCCTTGACTGTTTTTCATGCAGTAAGGAGAATCTGTCATCTCTAATTGAACTATTTTCAACTATGCAATATAACGAAGGTAACATTATCACAAAGAGGTATTGGGGCGAATTATTAGGCATTTTGTCTGTTAGATCAAATATTTTAGCTTTCTGTCTAACAGAAGGAGGATCTGAAGCTCCTAGAACAAGCTGGCTACAAAGTTGCCCTTGGTACTAAATAGAACATGTCATTTTTTGGACTACCTTCCCTATTCTGGGACTTGCTCGATTTTCCTCTACAAGACAAAACAAATTTTCCAAAGCTTGCTGATTTTGCAGTCTATGAGGACAGCTTGCATCTATACAACGTGCTTCACTTACTCAGGCTGTTTGAAGCAGTGTTCAGAGATACCCACAAGTGACAGTAACAGAAAACAGCCCCAAGGTGGGCTCTCTTCTGATCAAAAGTAAAATCTTCCTTCAGATGCAAATTGCTAAGATGATAGCTGCTGTGGAATGGGTGAAATATTTACTTTAAAATCAAACATATAATTTAATTTAATTGAAATAATCAAAATAGTGTATTAAAATTCCTCTGAGTGACTTGTAAGAAGTCCTCATAGGTTGTTTTGAGCTAATTGGTAACACTAATCAGATGCCCTGGTTGAGTGGCATTTTTGGTTTTTATTGCTCTTTTCTGAATCTTCCACCTCCTCTCCTTTTTTTTTTTGGCAATCCTCCACATAACCACAGCTCTGCAGTTACGTACTCTGCAGTATATGTTGCAAGTTAGGCATGTCCTATTAACATCATCTCTACTGGCTGTATAATCTAGCTCCTTGAACGGGACAACAGGGGCCAGGAAATTCCGTCTTTCTCTCCTTTTTGCCACAAACTTCACAGAATCACAGAATGTCAGGGATTGGAAGGGACCTCAAAGGATCATCTAGTCCAATCCCCCTGCCGGAGCAGGACCACCTAGATCAGATCACACAAGAACGCGTCCAGGTGGGTTTTGAACATCTCCAGAGAAGGAGACTCCACAACCTCTCTGGGCAGCCTGTTCCAGTGTTCTGTTACCCTTACTGGGAAGAAGTTCTTCCTCATGTTTAAGTGGAACCTCCTATGTTCCAGCTTATATCCATTTCCCCTTGTCCTATCATTGGATGCCAGTGAGAAGAGCCTGGCTCCATCCTCATGACAGTCACCCTTTCCATATTTATAAACATAAATGAGGTGCCCCCTCAGTCTCCTCTTCTCCAAGCTAAAGAGACCCAGCTCCCTCAGCCTTTCCTTGTAAAATAAGCCTAGAAAGGCGCTTTTTTTTTCTCTGTGGCTGGATTCAAGTACTATCAACGTAACTCCAGTGGTGGGATTGACACTGAGGGTAACAGGAAAGAAG